CTTTTAAAAAAAAAAAAAAAAATTTTCCTTTTATTGAGCTGAAAACCACCTCCCTGTAACTCCCACAAATTGGTTGTTGTTGTTGTTAGGTGCTGTCGAGTCATTTCCGACTCATAGGGACTCCATGTACAGCAGAATGAAACATTGCCTGGTCCTGTGCCGTCCTCACAGTTGTTGTTATGCTGGAGCCCATTATTGCAGCCACTGTGTCAATCTATCCTGTAAAGGGTCTTCCTCTTTTTCGCTGACCCTCTACCAAACATGATGTCCTTCTCCAGGGACTGATCCTTCCTGATAACATGTCCAAAGTATGTGAGATGTAGTAGTAGGTAGTAGTTGGTATATGGGTCAGTATAAAATAGGTCTAACCCATCTGCCAGAAGAGTTCTTCTGGAACATGTGTTTAGCTATACTGTTTTTTATAAATTTTCTATTTATATATTTATTTTTGAGAGAAGTACCATCATTGTCTTCTGCCTTTTGTCATATGGCAATAGACCATAGGCGTTAAGGACTTGTGTTTTCATACCTTTCACTACCCACTTTTCCCTTCTTTGCATACTCGTAAATTTTTCAATGACCTTAGTAAAATATGGTACCCAGAAATGAACAAAATGCACTAGATGTTGTTTGACTAGTGTAGAATGTTCTGGGACTTGATTTACCATTGAGTTTAAAAAAAACAGGTTACAAAACTGCATTTATAGTATAATCCTATATTTTGTTAAAAAAAAACCCAAAATAACTATATATATATATATTTATGGAGAGAGAGATACTGACATTTATAATGTGTATTAAGAAGTCTGGGATGATGAACACCAAAATGTAAATAGTATCCATATTTGAGTGGTAGAACTGTGGATGACCTTTATCTTGTTTTAGCTTATCTGCGTTTTCCAATGTTCTACAATGAACATGTTTTATGTAATGAAAATAAAATAGCAGCTATTTAAACCATAATACAATGAAATGATTACCTCCTTAGTATTGATATAAGACCTTCGTTAGTACAGGCCAGGATTTTCTGAGCCATGCATTGGTGTTGGCTCACTTTGAGCAGATAGTGAAAACTTCCAGGTTTTTTTTTCAATGAACTGTGAAGCCATGGTTCCCCTATATGGTGCTTGTAAAAGTGTTGACTGAACTTGAAATTACCTATTAAATTTCATCTTACTTGTTTTAGCCTGTGTTTATAATCCGTGTAGATCTTTTTGATTCTTTAGCCTATCTTTCAGTGTATTTACTTCTTTTCATCATCTGTAGATTTAACAAGCGTGTTTTCTATGACTGGAATTCAGCACACCATAATATATCCCTGAAGAAACTCTTCAGTTTTGTATAAATTTAAAAGTAGTGCTCTTTTTGCATGGTATTTCTACCGACACTGAAGCCGCTTAATAGAACTATCAGTCAGCTACTGCATTGTACTTGTGAGAATGTAATGAAATATTTTATCCATCACCTTTACAAACTCATGCTGTGTTCTGTTTATGGCATTCCTTGAATCTGTCCCTTTTAGCAGTAAGTCTGTAAATGTCACAGAAACCATGCTACTTTATGGTGACTTGTTTCGGCTAGTGAGCCTTTGATGATGCTTATTATTGATGCACATTCATTCCTTCACCTCCCTTACATCCAGTTCTTCTGGGTCTTGATACTCAATCATTTAAAGCAGCTAAGAGTCTTGGAAACCCTGGTGGTGTAGCTATAACTGCTAACCAGTAGGT